CTCCTCACCACCATCCCAGACGGGCAGGCGGCTAAACGGAGGAGCGGTGGAGAGGCGCTCGGCTGGCCAGCCAAACCACAGGTATGTTATGAGACGCTTCCTGTTGTGGAGACATTTCTGCGGATCCTCGGCCCCACTCCCCAGACTCCGTGCCTCTCTCTGGTCTGCAGGCCTGACGCCACTCTCCTGGGCTCTGTCTCTGGCACCTGGTCAGAGGAACAGCTCAGGGGCTCCCTCTCAGGGCCAGCCCTGGGAAGCACTAGGCCTCAGGACCAGGGGCCCCTGGTCCCTCTGCACAGCTCCTTACCCGCTGGGTGATTATGGGCCAGTGACCCTGGAGAAAGATCATTGAGACTGTCTGACCCTCCAGCCCCTCCAGGTATACCCGCTTGCCTTATTCCTGATGACCGGGAAGTCTCACTTTGGTCCAACCACCAATCCTCCTGTTACCAAGTGACACCTGTCCGCCAGCCCGCAAAAGACTCCACGGCTTGCTACTCAAACCTAGGATCTTGTAAAATGACCACGTAAAGTCTATTTGCTGACTATTCCCTGGTCATTCAGAGAAGCTGACCAGGCACCACAGAGCCTACTCAGGATTAAAACTGAGTTATGGATCTGGAATGGAGGGGGATGGAGGATTGGAGCAGAGGGCTTGACCCCAGTTCTGCTTCCCCAGCTGGGCTGTTCACACGTCTGAAGGGCTCCCCCCTCCCCCCTCCCCCGCCCCGCCAGCCCTTCTTCCACCTAATATCTGAAATAGGGGTTCCATTTCCCACTCAAGACCCAGGTCCTCCTTCTTGGGGTCTTCTTGGTCTGTGGATGCCTGCCCTGCTGCTTTCCAGACTCTCCAGCCTCAAGTCCACATAGGCCCAGTCCTCAGCCTGCTCCGCAGACCTGTCCCAGAACCTGGGCTCACATCCTCTTGGAACAGTCTCTGTGGACCCAGCCTCCCTTTCCCCGGCTCCAGTCTTATCACCAAGGACTCCCCTCTCTCCTCCCGCTCCGACCTCCCCCTGGGGCCTTCAGCTCCTGCTGCACTAGCAGCCAAGCACGTTTGCCTATCCTTCTGCTGACTCCACCCAAACCGTTCTCATTTCTTTCTCTCTTATGACCTCCTCCTCCCCACCCCCAGGTGCGCAGGCCAAAGCTCAACATCACTTTTGGCCCTTCTTTCTTTCCTTACAGGGAAGAAAAGACTCTCTCGAGCCTATCCTGCTTTGGTACAATTAGGAAAGGCTGCCTCCCCCCAGCCAGTGCCCCTCCTGGGCACTCTCGGGCACCCAGCCTGCACAGCTACACATGACATTTCTATGCCTGACCCTCAGATCACAGACCCAAACCCGAGGCTCTGTCTCCTCTATTCTCTCCCTTCTCTTTCTTCCCACCACCTCTGCCCTTCAGAGACCTGTACACCTCCAAAATGCAGCGCAGCCAAGAGCCAGCCAGTGGCTCAGACTCAGAGCTGAGATCTGAGATCATCATGGTTCAAAGCCAACTCAGGCAGGAAAGTCCATGAAACACCAATATGAACCACCAAAAAGCCAGAAATAGAGATGTGGCTCAAGTAATAGAGCACCAGCCTGGATGATAAGGGACTGTGTCCAGGCTGAGTTCAAGCCCCAGTACCAGTGCGCGCGCGCGCACACACACACACACACACACACACACACACACACACACACACACACACACACACACACCACACACACACAGCAACCCAATGCCTGACACATGCCAGCCACTCCACCACGAAGGCTCAATTTAATTGCCAAATAATTATATGGGTGATCATAGCAGTCTCTCACCCAGCCCCCGCCGTCCCCACCTCCCCTCTCTGTTTTTTCAGCTTTGCCCATATAGATTCCAAACTTTAGCCTTGACCAGAATCATCAGGACGGTTGTTGAGACACACATTCCCGGTCCCAACCCTGACTCTGCAGGGGTGATCCAGGCCTCACCTCAGCGTCTCTGCCCAGCCCCTGGGCGAGGCTGAGGGGCCTGCCTGGGGACCACGAGGAACACAACTCTTCCAAGGCCCTCTGTGCCTTCCAGTGGCTCCCTAGTACCAAGAGGATAAATTTCATGTTACTTGCCATGCATGTGGCTGCCTGGAGGAGGAGAGCAGACAGGGTAGAGAGGCTGGTTGTGAGCATAGAGAAGCTGAGACCATGGTGGAGGAACACATAGTGGCCTAAGGGCTGTGTGGGGGATGGAAGGACTGGAAGTCAGCTCAGTAGAGGAACCATATCTGTTCCAGCTGAACCATCTGTCCATGGCTGTGCTGTCACTGCCTGCGTGTCTCCGCATCTCTCCCCTGACACACTTGGTAACACCTGGAAGACAGCCCTGATGGTCTGTACTTGCTCATGCTAACTCAGCCCTGTGTCGGCCTGCCTTGGTGGGCGTCTTACAGGGAATGAGGGGTCTGATGTCTTTGGGCTCCATCACTGTTGACACAGCCCACTAAGTTTAACCATGCAAGTGAGGAGTCCAAGCAGCCTGGAATCTGGAGTCAGGGGCAGAAAGTGGCCATGCTAGACCGGGCAGATGGCGGCATAGGAAGGTGCCTCTTTCTTGTCTGCTCTGTCGGGCTTCAGCTTCATTCAAATCCCCACATCTGTCACCAGGCAAGGGAGGCACCCAAGCCACAGGGGACCCCAGCTTGGGAAGCAGTATTAGACAGAGTCTTTTTTTGGGGGGGGTCCAGTCATGGGGCCTGAACTCTGGGCCTGGGCACTGTCCCTCAGCTCTTCAGCTCAAGGCTAGTGCTCTACCACTTGAGCCACAGCGCCACTTCCGGCTTTTTTCTTTCTGCTTATGTGGTGCTGAGGAATGGAACCCAGGGCCTCATGCATGCAAGGCAAGTGCTCTACCACTGAGCCACCTTCCCAGCCCTAGACAGAGTCTTGAAGGACAAATCAGAGGTCACCAGGCCACAAGAAACAGTGAACAGTCCAGGCAGAGGACAGACAAGTGTCTGAAGGGGGAGGGGCTGCAAAGCTCCTGGGCAGGAAGCAGGTGTCCAGAGACAGTGACCCTATGGGTATGAAACTCTCACATAAACAAAATTAGGGCTATAGATTAAAAAGTTCCTGGAAGCCAGGGGCCGGTGGCTCACGCCTGTAATCCTAGCTACTCAGGCTGAGATCTGAGGATCGCAGTTCAAAGCCAGCCCGGGCAGGAGAGACCATGAGACTCCTATCTCCAATAAACCACAAGAAAACCAGATGTGGTACTATGGCTCAAGTAATAGAACACTCGCATTGAGCTGAAGAGCTGAGGGACAGTACCCAGGCCCAGAGTTCAAGCCCCACAACTGACAAAAAAAAAAAAAGCCAGCCCAAGTAGGACAGACTGTGACACTCTTATCTCCAATTAACTGCCAGAAAAGCAGAAGTGGCATTGTGGCTTACAGTGGTAGAGTGCTAGCCTTGAGTGAAAAAGCTTAGGCACACGGTCCAGGTCCTGAGTTCAAGCCTCATGACCATCAAAAATTTTAAAAATTAAAAATAAAAAGTTCCTAGCGGGGTTGCTGCATCCTGATGCCAGCCAGCCTCTCACCACGGGGGACACAGAAGCGGAGGAGGTAAGAGTTGCATGCCCCATCCCTGGGTACCTCTGATCCAGGCCCCTGACCTCCCATGGCTTCCCAGAACCACCTGTACCTGGGCGTCCTTATCTGCCTGGATCACTCTTCTTCCTCACTTAAGGCCCAGCTTTGGAGCCACCTCCTCCAAGCAGCCTTCCCTGCCTCCCTCAAAGCAGCTTTTCTTTCTTTTTTTTGGGGGGGGGGCCTGGTTGTGGGGCCTGAACTCTGGGCCTGAGCACTGTCCCTCAGCTCTTCAGCTCAAGGCTAGTGCTCTACCACTTGAGCCACAGCGCCACTTCCGGCTTTTTTCTTTCTGCTTATGTGGTGCTGAGGAATCGAACCCAGGGCCTCATGCATGCAAGGCAAGTGCTCTACCACTGAGCCACCTTCCCAGCCCTCAGAGCAGCTTTTCTAGGTGCCCACCCCTCCTCCCATCCCCCTCACTCTGACTGTGGGTGGCGCTGAGCACATGCTCAGCAAGTCTGCCTTCAGGGACACACTGGCTGCCCCCCTCCCACCTTGGCCCAGCCCCCAGGGTGGCTTACCAGAGGGCCCCTTTCTCTGTGGCTCTTCTCAAATCCTCCCCAGATCTGGGCCACAGAGGGCCAGGACGGAGCATTCTTCTCTACAGTTGATTGCATTTACTTTCCAGGCTTCTGGCCTCTGCCTATCTCTGAGTCTGGTTCCCCCTGTGCTTGGGGAGGAACCCCTCAACTACTAGAGCATGCAGAGAGATGAGAACAATCAAGCAGGGCAGACAAACCAGGAAAGCTCATGAAGGAACAACACCAGAGCAATCATGGATTGGCCTCTCAGGCAGGTGACTGGAAGCACTGACCCTTCTCTACCGAATGCTCCTCCCAGCAGAGGCCTCGAGCCTGTCCAGAATGATTCTAATTCAAGGGTCCCTGGATCTGGCCATCCCGGCCTTAAGCCGGGCAGGCTGGACTTCAGGCTCCAACCCTTCTCCTTCCCCTTCTGGTTCGCATTTGCAGCCTTTTCCGGAACGCCACCGGCACTGCTGCTGCCCCAGCCTGCCAAGATTCCTGGGCCTCTCTCCTGGACCTCGAAGCTTCCCTGCATGGTGGCGGCGGCGGCGGCAGCAGCAGGAGGGGCTTGGCTGGGCAGAGACAGGCCCGGTGGGAGTGCAGCCAGGCCACTGCACCCAGGCTGGGCCAAGCAAACACTGCTGTGCCAAGGAGCTGGGCAAAATAGTTCACAAATGAGAAAAAGCTGCTTCCGATTCAGCCGGAGTTTTACAGTGCACAGGGAGCTGAGGTCACCTGTAAGAGAGGCTGCCCTCAAGGACACCCTGGGCCTGGGAGGGGCTTCTACTCCAGCAGGAGAAGGCAAGGTTAGACAGCAACAAGCGCAGGCCTCATCCAGCCTGGATCTCAATCGCGCTTACCTTTCAGATCAAAGGAGCCAGGAAGGTCTCAATGGAGGCAGGGCCTGTGGATGGAGAGGAGTAGTAAGAAGCCACCAGAAGCCGAGATGCCCCATACCTGACCCTCAGCCTCACCGCACTGGCCACAGCTTCTTGCCAGTAGCCCCGCTGGACCCGGGAGCACTAAATGAGCCTGTGCTATACTCCCCCCTCTTTCTGAATTCCATGTACACTTAGTGTGCTCAGAGTACCTGAGCTGAGGTGGACATGTCCTCTTTTATCAGAGGGGAGCTGGGGGGGGGGCTTCTGGATCCATACTGGCAGAGTCCCCTCTCTGCATCAGCCCTAGTTACAGTGGCCCTTAGGTTGGAAGACATGTATGCTGTGTGTCCAGGACTGGGCTGCCGAACACAAAAGCATCTCTAGCCCATGTCCTGCTGGAGGCATCAGACAGGTGACAGCTATGCAAGTAACTAAGATCTCCGGGATGTGGGAGATGCACGGTCTCTCCATATCCCCTCAGAATGCTTCCAGGCAGAAGACATATTGAAGCTGTATTCTGAAGGATGAGGAGTCTGAAAGGTAGACAAGGTAAGATAAAAGAATTTCAAAGCCGGGCACTGGTGGCTCACGGCTGTAATCCTAGCTACTCAGGATGCTGAGATGTGAGGATCACGGCTCAAAGCCAGCCTGGGCAGGAAAGTCTGTAAGACTCTTATCTCCAATAAACCACTGGAAAACCAGAAGTGGCGCTGTGGCTCAAGTGGTAGAGCGCTTGCCTTTAGCTGAAGAGCTGAGGGACAGCGCCCAAGCCCAGAGTTCAAGCCCCACGGCCAACCCAAAAAAATAAAAATAAAAAAGAATTTCAAGCTAGCTACTCAGTAGGCTGAGATCTGAAGATTAAAGAGAGGATCTCAGTTCAGAACCAGACCCAGCAGAAAAGTCCTTGAGACTCTCATCTCTAATTAACCAAAAGGCAAGATGTGGCTCAAGTAGTAGAGCACTAGCCTTGAGTAAAAAACCTAAGGGACAGCACCTAGGCCCTAATTTCAAGCCCCAACACACGCACGCGCACACACACACACACACACACACACACACACGTATGCACACACACGTACTGGAGATGGCTGTAGGGACGCCTTGACAGATATAGGGAAGGCCCAGAAGTGTTAGTAGGGTTAAGGAGGACAGACAGGAGCTGCGGCTGGAATGGGGGGAGGAGGGGAAGTCTTAAATGCCACGCTTGCATTTGTCCGTGGGGAGCTATGGAAGGTTGTGGAGTAGGAAGGTGGTGTAGTCCAAGCCCTGGATGGCCAGGTCCCCATTTCTGCTTCAACCAAAAACAGTGCCAGGCTCTATCCAAGGCCCTAGTCCAGGTGGCTACACAGAGGGACAACAGCTAGAGTCCAAACCCAGACAGGACTCCTAGGTGGATGAGGAGGGGACACCCAGCCAACCCACCTGGCAAGAAGGGCTGCCAGCTGCGTCACTCTCTCCCCCAGCTGCTTGCTTGCTTCTGCCCACTCCCATGGAAACTCTGGCATCCCAGCCCTCACCGTGGCTGCACAAGCAGCCAATGCCAAAACCAGCCCATCCTGGGCCTTCTCTCCAAGTTGGCGAGCTCTGCCTCCATCCGGCCAGTCTGAACATCAAGATCCCTAAGCTAGTCAAGATTCCATTTTCCAAGCCCCCAGCCTGGATGAAAGGTCCCACTTAGCTGCATCCCAGCTTCTCTAGCCCAGTCCCTCCCCCACCATGAGGCTGGGGGAAAATGAGTTCTGTTGGGTCTGGCTTTTGAAAGTGGAAAAGGAATTTAACTGACTGGGGCGGGGTGGGGGTTTGGGGGGGGAGGGGAGTTATGATCCGGGCCAAGGAAGAGCTCTAGTGAGGGTATGCAGGTGAGAAAACCCTGAACACACTGGAAGGATGAAGAGGATGGAAACAAACAAGAACTGGGCTAAAGATGGAGCTCATTGGCAAAGCACTTGACTAGTGTGCACGAGGCCTTGGGTTCAATTCCCCAGCCTCAGCATGTAGGGAGACATAAAACCTAAACAGACCAAAAATATTTTTTTTTTTTTTAGTAGTGGGGCCTGAACTCTGGGCCTGGGCACTGTCCCTCAGCTCTTCAGCTCAAGGCTAGCGCTCTACCACTTGAGCCACAGTGCCTCTTCTGGTTTTCTGAGTGGTTTTATTGGAGATAAGAGTCTCACAGACTTTCTTGCCTAGGTTGGCTTTGAACCACAATCCTCAGATCTCAGCATCCTGAGTAGCTAGGATTACAGGCATGTGTCATCGAAGCCCAGCCAGACCAAAAATTTAACTAATTAATCACAGCTAATATTTATTTTGCTAGGCACTGTTCTGGGTTTGTTTTTGTCTTTTTCAGTGTTGAAGATTAAACGCAGGGCCTTGCACACACTAGACAAGTGCTTTACCACTAGGCAACAGGCTAGTCCCTGTACGTGTGTGTGTGTGTGTGTGTGTGTGTGTGTGTGTGTGTGTATGTATTAGTCCTGGAGCTTGAACTCAGGGCCTATGCTCACACTTGACTTTTTCTGTTCAAGGCTAGTAATCTACTGACTTGAGCCACAGCTCCACTTCTGGCTTCTTTGGTAGTTAATTGGAGATCAGAGTCTCATGGACTTTTCTGTCCGGGTTGGCTTCAAATAACAATCCTCAGATCTCAGACTGATTCCGTGTGTGAGTCTCTAGGACTCAGTTGAATTTTTTGTCTATTTGTTTGTTTTGTCAGTCATGGGGATTGAACTCTTAGCCTGGGCGCTGTCCCTCAGCTCTTCAGCTAAAGGCAAGTGCTCTACCACTTGAGCCACAGTGCCCCTTCCAATTTTCTGAGAGGTTTATTGGTGATAAAAGTCTCATGGACTTTCCTCCCCAGTCTGGCTTTGAACCATGATCCTCAGATCTCAGCATCCTGAGTAGCTAGGATTACAGGCGTGAGCCACCGGTGCCTAGCTGAATTGTTTGTTTTGAAACAAGGTCTCACTATGTAGCCAAGGCTGACCTTGAACTCTCCAACTTCCTTGCCTCATCTTTCTAAGGGCTGAAATTACAATGTGTACCACTACAATGGCTCTGGGTATTATCATTTATCATCTTGTTTAATCCCCACAATAACCCTTTCTACTGACAGGGAAACTGAGGGACCAAGTCCGAACCTAACTTGAGCTGTTGGCTCCAAAGCCTGGGTTCTTAACCACTAACTGCATAAATGACTTCACATGACAGGTCTGGCTGCTGTCAGACCGAGAAATGCTTTGACAAGGCATTAGGGTCAGAGACCTGGGCTCAGCTCCAAACTGGCTCTTCTCCTCTCCATCAGTTTTAGCCCTTAATAACTGTTTCTAATCCCAGGCACATTGGGAGTACCGGAACAGTACTTGCAGGCTCGCAGAGCATTGTTTTAGCAAACTCCCCTGCAGTCTTGGAACAGTTGTCCAGTTTTACTGAGAAGGGGTGTGGGGCTCAGACCGCTCACATCTAGCCCCTGGGTTACATGGCAGGAGGGAAGGGGACAGGATCTACACCTACCTCTGCCCAGCCCCAAAGAACCAAAGTCCCCATACTTGGGGGAGATCTGGGTCCTGCTCCACCTTCTATCTCCACCATGACAACCGCAACCAGATGGCTCCAGGGACAGGAAAGGCTGAGTACCGAGTGGACGGCTACTGCCAAGGGACTCTGGAGCCGTCCCTCAGTTTCACAAAATGGGAAAGCAGGTTGGGTGGCTGTGCCAGGGCAGTGCCTGAGCCCCTTCAATGAGACTCTGTTCTTAACTCCCCTCCTTAATCGTCTTCTTGAGCCCTTCCAGACAGCACTGTTCCTCTGCACAAAGCCTGCTGCTGGCTAAGCCTAAATCCCAGGCCAGATGGTGGGAGAACAGTCTGCACCCTGTACCCACAGCTAGTGAGGAGGCCCCAGACCCACTTCCCCACTCTGACTTTCTAAATGGAGGGGCTTGGGGCCCGAGGTGAGCAGTCACCCCTGCCAGAGGTGAACCACTCCCTCCCCCAGACCTCACACTACTGGTAGGTTCTGGGCTAATCATCTCTTTTTTAAAAAATCATAGGTTGAAAGAATCACTGTATACAATTTGTGTGTGTGTGTGTATGTGTGTGTGTGTGTAAGAGAGAGAGAGAGAGAGGGAGAGAGGGAGAGAGAGAATGGAGGCTTGAACTCAGGGCCTCAAGCTCTTCCTCAGCTATTTTGCTCACAGTTGGCACTCTACCACTTGAACTGTACCTACAATTCCAGCTTGTGACTAGTTAATTTGAGATAGGAGTCTCACCAACTTTTCTGTCCAGGCTGGCTTTGAACTGTGATCTTCAGATCTCAGATTCCTGAGGAGCGAGGATTACAGGTCTATGTGCCCAGCAATGCAATTCTTCTAGCAAGAAATGGGAGAACAAAACAAATCAATTTTGGATGCCAGAATGAGAGCAGAAGTTGTCATACAGGACTCCACTGAAGGCTCACTGGTACGATGATAAATCTTCTTACCGTGACGCCACCCAGCAGTCCTGTGGAAGGAGCAAGGTAAGAAATAGGCCCCAAATCTAAGAAAAAGGCTCAGAGAAGTCACTTGTTCAAGTTCAGCAGCTAGCCAGCGGGGCATGGTCCCAGAGCTTGAACTGAGCTTGAATGAATCCAAAGATGCTGAGGACAGCTCCCCCCTCCCTAGTGTTGGGGGCCTCCTCCCAATTCCTTAGCTCCTCCTGGCTGACCCCCAGAGATTCCACCCTGGCCCAGCCCCTGCTGCCCCTGTAGGAGGGGGGCGCTGCATTCCTGGCTAAGCAGCGGATTTGCTGTGCTCTGGGAACTATGAAAAGAATGTTTGCCACGAGCTGAGCTGAGCGTGGTCGCCTGTCAGGGAGCGTGGCCTGGAGGGCCCACGCAGAGCTGTGCGGCAGCCAGCCCAGCAGGAGAGACAAGGCTACACAGAAGGAAGAACTTCCAGGTCACGAGGGCTACAGACACTGGATGGGGGTGGAGGCCAAAAAATTGG